CCTTAATAGTTAGTCCGCCAAATTAATAGTATTTTATGTGTGATTTCTGTCAAATAGATAATATTTATCTCGTTTTTTTTGTGCTATTAATTGATATCTTGCTTGTCTCCACTACCTTATCACAACCTAATTAAAAATACATATAATATTGAAAAAAGATTTTTTTTGAATCAAATTTGTATTTTCATGCTTTTTTTTACGGCATGTATTGGAAACGTTGAAAGAAAAATGTCGAGGGAAAAAAATCGAAAAAAAACGTCAAAAAATAAATGTCGAAAAAAAACATCGAGCGAAAAAAAGTCGACAGAAAAAAGATCGAATGAAAAAAATGTCGAATCAATGAAAAATTATGTTGGATGAAAAATATAAAATATTTATTTGATTTGATTGAAAAAAAAGGAAAAATACGTTAATTGATAATGACAAATGAGTATTAAAAGAATGAATCATTCGATAAAAGAAAATACGATAGAAAACACAAGAAATATGATAGGAAAGAAAATCAATATTGGTCAATAATGACATCTTAGAAGTTTCGATATGTTACATGATCGACGTTTTTTTATTTCGATTTTTTTTGTTCGACGTTTTTGCCTTCGACATTTTTTCTTTCGGCGTGTTCATAGTAAATCTTTTTTACTATTTGCCTGTACACATTATGATGTAAGGAAAAAAAGCATAATATCTCATTATTATATGGGTAAATACTTATGATGATATTTGTAGAATATCACACATGTTCGAATATTTCTAGAGTAAATAATGCTATTTAATAAGTTAAAAAGATTTATTATGTATACAAAATGTTTGGACATATTTAGTAAATTACATGGTCTTAACATTTCAATAGTTAATATAGCTAATTTTGTACTACATGAAATTACTTCTGAATTTCTCTGATTATTCCAATCCATTCTCCTCCATTCCCGTCCATTCTCATTCATTCCCTCCCATTCTCATCCATTCCTTCCATTCTCATCCATTCCCGTCCATTCTCATCCATTCGAATGCCCGCGAATGAGTTTTTTCCCCCTTGACCCACACCCACACCCGCTCCAAAATACAACAGCTAAAGCAGTACCAGAAGCAGCACAAAGAAATGGCATGATATTACTTGAACTGTAGTATTCATCTGCAGCAACTAAATCGTTAAATGTCAAAACCTTATTTTCCAATCGGTCACATTGGGTGTGGGTGTGAAAGAAGAAAGCACTCACACCCCCACCCCAACCCCACACCCACCCTCATACCCACACCGCGCCCACACCCACATCCCACCTATACCCACACCCACACCCACATCCACACTCCACACTCCACACCCACACCCCACACCCCGCACCCGCACTCACATCCTCGTAGTTTGAAAACGATACACTAGGGAACATACGAAATGCTATGAGAATAGAGTATATACTATTTTTTACATTCACAATGACAATCTAGTTTTAAAAATTATTTATTCATGTTTATTAATGAGTTACAAGAATGTGATAGATTACACACGAAGCTTCGGTTTTAGTACTTTAGGTCCGGTTGCCACTTTAACTGTTGTATTGAACCAAGTCTGAACTTGTTGTCGCTGTCCTTCTATACTTTGAATTCCTGATGTGTTTTGTTGTTGTTGCGGTAACGTATTATTTGTTTTTTGTTTCTTTTCTAAACCTCTTAAGATGACATAGGTATGTTGAAGAAGAATATCATTATCGACTTCAAAAGTTTCCAAATCAGGATTAGTCACAGGATCACTCCACAGATCAGTTCGTTCAAGATAGAGTTGTAATGGAACATCGAGACTAACATTAGCATTCAAAACACGAATCATTAATCGTTTGAGCATGGAAATCCAACTGTCGACACTTTTTAATGTTTCAGCAATTGTTTCTTTTTCAAATGTCATACGAGAAAAAACACGAAGGACACGTTCACGTTCTTCGTCTGTGAATGTTTCTTCTGTCAGTTCTTTTTTCACATAAGCTCGTAAGACTTTATCAAAAGCAGTTTCCTCAATTGTTTCATACAAATCAATAATATATTGCAATTGAATTGTAGAAAATGGTGGTCGACGAAGAATATTATCATTTAAACAATTATGTGAATGAATATGATATTCGACGAATGTTTGAATTGTTGTAGTCTCTGTAGCATTCTCCGTGACACTATTTCGCAAATAGGTAAAAACATAGTCAAGTGAACCGAGATAATTAAGAATATCATCGTTGTTCATCGTCCCAAGGAGACGTTTTAATTTAGTTCGTTCATCATTTGTCATTTTTTGTTGCTTGATACGAGCACGCACATCATTGATGAGAGACGCATTTTCACCATACAATTCAAACTGATAGTTGAGAAAGCGTAATTTTTCCGTATCAATCAATACTAAAGAACTAATCATATTTCGAAGTGTCATTTCGATTTCTTCGTAATCGTATATGATATCTTTACCTTTGCCATATTGATAGTTTATGACAAGAGAATCATCAACTAATTTTTGACTTAATTCAATTCGATTAAGTCGAAGAAGATTTTCTAATCGAATAGATGGAAGTGGTATCTGTTTTCGTTTTATTTCTGTATTGATAACGTTATTAATATTATTGTGAAAATAGTTGACAATTTCATTTTGTAATTCAGCAATAGTTTTGATAGATGCAGCAAGAAGAAGACTACTTTCATCTTTCGATGTATTTAATAAAACTGTTGCAATGCTAGTAGATTCGGCGAATTTTTCCTTTGCAACAGGCAATTCGAATTTAGGTTTTTGACATCCATAATGAACTTCTTTTAATTTTAATGAATACCACGCATGTAAAAAATCATTGTAGTATTGCTTCATGATATGTTGATCATTTCCCGTTGTTAAATAATGCATAATTTTTCTTTCGGCTGCATCAATTCGTTTGATACGATAGTTAAGTTTTTCAATGAGATAATTTGTAAAGACAATGATTGGATAAAGATATTGAATATTAACATAATCTTCAAGACGTTTAAAAAGAAATGTTGTAACTGGATAGGATCTTTCAGCATATGGAAGTGTTTGCATTTTCAAGATAAATGCATCAAGAGGATTTGTAGTATGAAATGTAGTGACATTGAAAAAATTTAAAAGAGGATATTGTTTTTCATCTTCAAATAGCTCATCGATGAAACTTTCTAGAGATGGTTTCGAATCACGCTCTTGAATAAATTCAGCATAAGCTTTCTTATATTCAGTGATCTCAGTGGTCATGGAATCGATATGTGCAAAGATGATTTTCTGTTCAATAATTTGTTCTATTTGAAGAACACGTTCATTTGTATTCATAACGCCACGCTTAATTAATTCGTCATTGATAAGATGTTCAAGAAGTTTATACAGCCAAATATAACATTGTTTGCTATCTGTTGATGTCTGAACTAAAAGAGTATAATCTTTTTCAAAATGATCACGAAAATGTGTTGTTTTTGGTATTTTGAAACGTTGTTTAATATCATCGTCGGTCAAATAATTGCAATCATGCAAAAAGAGTAGGAGGCCATGTGTAAGAAAATGAATAAAACGAAATGAAACAGGTCGATTCAAATGATCTGGTTTATCTCCTGAATTACTCGCTTCATGAGTATTAACATTATGATATCCGAGACGAGCTGTCATATTGTATCGATCGATATACTGATTAATTACTCGGAGACCTTCATCAGTGGACATTCGGATTTGAGGAGGATCACGTTGAATAAGAACGTTGTATCGTTCGGCACCAATTGGTTTTTTACACAATGAACATGTATGGCGATCGTTTGGAACACCACAATCTTGGAAATAGAACATCCATGGACAATCCCGTGAGCATTGAAAAATAAATTTTCCTCCAGCATGCATAACACCTCGATTGAGTCGATCTTGAATTTGAGTACGAACATCGATCATCTGAGTAATAACAGGATCGCTGATTGTCATACCGGGTAAGCAGACAGTCGAAAGATGTTCACCATAATGGTTAGGCATTTGTCGTTGATGATTAAAGAGAATACTTCCAAGATAGGTTATTTCTGGTAATGATTTTAAGGATATAAAGAAAGCGACAATATTTAAGGCAACTAAACGTTTATGAATTTCATTGTGTGGCATGTCAGGTTGAAGACGAAAATACGAATTTTCTGAAAAATTCGAGCATAAACAAATGAGAAATCTATGTCCCAAAGGTGTAAATGAACGAATAATATCTTGGCTTAAATTGCGATCAATATCTTGAACAAAAGCATCATCAACTTTTGTGTTTGGTTCAATAAAACGACAGTAATATTGGATATACCAACACAAAACGGCATAACTAAACTTTTGGGATGTACTGCATTGAATAATCAACTGACGTAATTCGTTAGTTTTGTTGACCTCATTAAGAATTTCACTAACTCGTTTAAATTCTTTTTGACATTCGAAAAGAGGAGTTGGCAAAATAATGATTCGACGAATATTTTGAGCTTGCTGATCACGAGGACGCTCAAGCAATGGTTTAATCCAAATAACATTACGATTGGTATAGATCGTACGCATATCATTTAGATTAAGTCCTGATATTTGTAGCATTTGTTTAACAATGAACAGTTTCAATGTTGAACAAAATGAATTATCGATGTTTGTCAGTAGTTGATCGATTCTAGGCAGAATATCTGTTCTACTGTCGGCATTCAAGGCAAATGCATATATCTGAGCATAGTATTTGAGCCAAGCAAGCATTGAGATCGATTTTATATCATTTACATTTTTTATATTTTGGATTTCATGCAAATTCTGTCGAAAATGTTCAAAATGTTCCGTTAGCTGCTTATCGATTTCATGTCCTGGAGCATCCCGCATCAAGTTCATATGAAGTCGATTCATCATCAATCTTTCTATCTTACAATTTGGATTTCTCGTTCTTTCTAGAAAGTTATCAAGCTCTTCGTATTGATCATTGAAAGGTAAATTTCCATTATTTTCTTTTAATGTCGAGAGCAAATCAAGTTTTCGATCGATATATGTAAAGAATTTGGCTGAATAATGCCACAGATCATTATCATCTTGATTCATTAAACTCAAAATTTCACCATACGAATCACCATTATCAGCTAACCAATCTTTCAAGAATTCGACCTCAAGTTTGACTAATGTTCGATGAATAACAGTCTCATGAGCAGCAGATCTTTCGGCTTTGATAACGTCTTGTAGATATGTGATAAATATATGAATCGACTGACATGAGTCGAATTCGGCATCGAAACCTTGCTTACATACGTGTTTGAAAACATCAAGAGCTTTATCAGGAAGAAGAGCAGTGAGACAACGAATTAGACTAATAAATGAACGAAGTTTTTCAAGATTATTGATTAGATATGATGGTAGATCACGAGCACTCTGTGCTATTAAACTGTAGATTGTTGTAACTTGTTGAATACTATTTGTACGATCGATAATTGATGATGAAAGAATCAATTCAATTAAATTCATCAAAGTCGTTTCAATCATTGGATTTCCTTTGCATTTAAATGCCCATTTTTCTTCAATTGTCGTTGTTTGTGGCGCAAGCTGATAGAATTGTTGATTAGCTATGACGAGTGTATAAAAATTCGAAGGCTTTATGTTACCAATAGGATTTTCGATCAATTGTTTTTGAATTGTGTTACGAATTTCTTTTTCACTAACTAATTGTAGACCTATTTCGAATAAACGAAGAATTTCTGTGAATTCAACATATTGTGCAAGAAATAATTGTGTGTTTTGCTCAATTGTATAAGTTGGATTGCTTAGCAGTAGATTCAAAACAAATTTCGTTGAAAGATGAATATTTGTCTCTTTAAGATGCAAAGCAATTTGATCATAAATATAAAATTCAAAGAAGTGTCGATTAGTAAAAACAAGTTCTATAAAATCTGCGCCATAGATACTTGTACTCTTCAATTGACCAATAATAAAATTGAAAGGAACGAGCAATTCATTATCATTATCTTGTAATTGTTGGAGTTTTTCCCGAATATTTCGAATATTTTCGTATTCAGCTGCTGCACAAGGTAATTTAAGGTCGAAAATAAGTTGAATTTCAATCATATCACGATCTATTATTGTCAAGTCAATATTTTCTAGAGTCCTTTCCAAACAATTGTTCCATGTTTTGATAAAATATTTTCGAATGTTTTCATCACGAACACTTAAAACGAAGTTATAAGCATCCATAAAATTATGTTGTTCAAGATGAGCCAAAAAAAGAAAGAGATATGATTCGTAAAAAGTCGAAATAGTTGCTTGAAAAGCATCATAGAAAGAACGAGAACTGGCAATTGTTTTACCATTTGTTAAAAGATCAAGACGCCAATCAGTAAAACGTCTATTTTCAGAGATTTCAATTTTTTGTATTAGTGTCATTAAATTTGTTTCCACAATCGAACGAAGATGAAGCTCTTTTGATCCCGATTTATCCTTCTGCTGAATTATCTGTTGAAAGTTTCTCTCACGCCTTGTATTAATTAGTCGTTCGTCATTTTTATGTGGAACGATATAGCGAAATTTTGATAAGCATCGATCAATAAGGTCGTCAAATGCACATTCAGTAAGAATATATTGCGGTTGAAGAACTAGATTATGATACGAAGGATTTTCCAGTATTTCTTTTGGAATTAATGCATGATTATTAAGATCATCGATCATATCAGCAGACCATTTGCTGAATAAGACATCATTAGTGATTTGATTGAGTAAATTTCTTTGCAAATGAAATATTAACCATACACCTCGATTACTTTTATTCACATGTTCATTGAGTAATACATGTTTTAGTGAAAGTATATGTTGATGTTCATTATGATAATCAACACGAATTAAAAGAAGACGTATATTCGTCAATGCTTGGTAATGTCGTTTAATTTTATTTGTTAGCTCAAGTTCTGTTTTGAAAGTACTCAGTTTGATCTCTTCAACAGTATTTGGTAATCCATTAATTGTATGAAAGATCTGTGTGTATGTGTAAATAATACGAGGAACAATATTAGTATTATTTTCAAGTGATTGTTGAATAAGTTTGGTAAAGCTTATTAATTGACGAATATCATAGTATTGAGCAATTAATTTTTCATTCTCAGGTATAGCTTGAAGAGAAAGAACTAAAGGTAGATCAAATGAACTGGTGCGAAGTAACTGTACTTGACAATGATCAATAACATATTGCCGTCTGTCATTCGCTTCTTCGCCATCAATAGGTATGTTCAATTGTTCATACGTTTCAATGACAAGATTGCAAATTCGATCTTGACTATAATCAACAAATAAATGTTGTAATAGAGGAAAATGTTTTCCAATACTTTTTGGTAACAAACTATCAAGCCACATATGTAAGTCATTGGCCACGGATCTATGTTGTGGATGAATCAAAGCTTCAATATCGATTAAATGTTTCTCGAAACGATTAAGAAATGGAGGATCACACTTATCTAAGTCTCTTTTATGAATGAAGACAACACAATAGAAATTATCGTGAACAAGACAACGTGGATGGTAGAGTGCACCTAGAGCAATACGACAATATTTCTTTTTAGCGGATACTGCAAAATTTTGATTAAAAAGATCATAAAGATTATCGTATACGTGACCCATTTGACGGATGATTAAAGTAATGTTTGTTTCAGCATAGAGAATAACATCCATTAAAACTCGATAATTATATTGTTCGGCATATGTATTTAAAGATAGTAAATCACCAGGAAATGAACTACCGACAAGTGTACGTACTCCTACATTTAGTTTCTTTTGATGAACATTAATGAAGCGTTCAACGTAATCGATAGCACTTTCACTATCACCTATGAGCATTAGATATCGACCAGTACGAGCCGTAAGTGTTTGATCGAGAAGAAGATTAAATGGTGGACAATTGTATTCGTTAAAAAGATTTTGCTTATGGATATATTCACAAAAATGTTGCCACATGAGTAATGATCCATCAAGTGCACCGTCAAAATTAACTTTCAATTGACATCGAATAATTTCATACAAGTTCGCATCATGTTTCATTACCATTAAACCACGAAGAATACCTTTGATCAGAGAATAATAATCTCGAAGACCAAAATAATTTTGATGATCAGGTTGCGTTTCTTTTAGAATTTCATAAAGATCATAGTAAGCTTGGGAAAGACCTTCGATAATGATTGGTTCAAATTGAATTATTTTCAAGTTTGACTGTTGCTGCATACTGTGAGAGATTATTTTACCTGTGAGTTGTAGATCTTGAACATCTGGATCTGGCGTTGATAAATAGAGAGCTCGATTCATTTTCGAAGCATCAAGTCGCCAATTGGATATGCCAACAAATCCGTATCGATTATTTTCAACTTCAAGTTCGCCATGTAATACTTTCAATGGATTATGTGGAGAAAGTTCGGCAAGACCAATTTCATCGAAAACAATTACTGGCAATAAATCAGATATACTCTTCACTCGAGTATAATTTGCAGCACGATCAAACACTTTGATAATACTCTCCGACGTACAATTTTGAGATCCTTGAAAAGAGACAGCCACAAGTTCAGGCAATGTTTGAAAATATGGATCTCCCGACTTTTTGCCTTTGAGATTACTGATTACTATTTGAACTGCTGATGATTTACTGCTACCGGGCTTGCCACATAAGAACAGAGGTATACGATTGAGAATACAAGCAAAGAGAACAAATATGTTATCACGTAGTGCTCGGTTAGGAGCTGTACCTGCTGGTAATTCCATCATTTCATCAATTAATTTCTTTTGCTCATATTCAAGAATGGCTTTTGTCAAATAATCAGGATATTGTTTAACACGTGGATACTCTTCGGCTATAATCATTTGCATTTTTTCGATATATATTTGCTGTAATTTAATAGAACGCAATCGAAAATAGTAACAAAGTAATAAGGCAATGAAACTAGCTCGACGAAGAAAAGAATCTGATTTTTTCAATGAACCATTTGCATGAGCACGTTGACTTAGCGAATCAAGAAACCAATTATATAGACGACAAAATCGAGCGATATCTCGAAGACTGACGCTACTAGCATCTTCAAGTTCTCGAAAATGTTTTTGAGAATTCACAAGGAGATCAACAGTAAGATTGAATAATTTTGAATCAGACGAAAGATCACGACATGTATTCAACATTGTTTTAATATAGGCTCTTTCGGTTGGTTCATTTAGATATCCATAGTCCCAAATATATTCAAGCATTGTTTCTGGAATGGGTACTACTGTGTACAAGAGTCTTCGATCGGTACCTGCACAAAGTTTCTGTATTTCATAGCGTGTTTGTCTTAATCCAATTTGTGCATCTTCATTAATTAGAATTTTATTTGTTTTCTTACGCCGTGGGTTGCAAGCGCCTAAGAAAACTATATTCGATGGTAATCGTTCGCCGAGGAGAGTTCGTTCGCAGATGATTTCTTTGAGAAGACCAATATTACTGGTCGTATTAAACTCATCAAAAAACACCCATAAGCGTTTATTTCGAGTTTTACATTCTTGAGCTTGTTTAATATAAGATTGTACTGTTGTGATTAACTTGTCGACATCAATACCTGCATGCATACGAAAAACTTCAAGATCATCGTCGAGAATCTTTTGACATAAGAACTGAATTAAAGCCGTTTTTCCGCAGCCTAAAGAATAAATGCATTGAAAAACATTGTTATAATATGGTATGTATATTCTTACCTGTCTCGCCCATGATTAAAACTGGAATTCCACTTTGCACTCGCATGTAAATAAGAAGCATTTTAACGAAATTATCCGGTGTAAGAACATATTCATTTTTCAGCTTCTCTGCAATGCTAATTTGAAATACTGTAACATCAGAGTCATTGAATGATGCAGGTCGAATAAGATCAATGTTAAGACATTTTGTGCATAAACGATCTTTATATTCATATTGTCGAAAACATTTCGGACAAATTGATTTATTGAAATATTTTCTTGACAGTGATGCTAATTTAATAAAGAATTCTATATGACTAAGTTTGTCATAATCGGGAAACATTATATTTTCCGCCAATTCTTTCTTTTGTCCTGTTGCTTGATAATAAGTTTTAAAATATTCGATCAGTGCTGGTGGAATATCCTTCGTTATCTTATAAATAAATAATGGCTCATGTGTCTCTGTGAAAACTAGTATGAAAGGTTGTACTGTATCCCATCGGACGATGGCATCACTAAACTCTTCCGGTGCATTGTTGGCAACTGCTCGTTGTTGTTTTCGAACAGCTTCAACTGAAAGAGACGTGAATTGATTTGATGATCGAAGTAAGGTTTGAATAAGATCCATACGCAATTCTGGACGAGAAACCCATTTGACAAAAAAGAAACTACATAGGGAAAAACTTGTAAATAGACGATAGAAAACGGCTATGAAGATCGACAGTTGAGTCCATGTAATAAAATTCAAATTTTTATTTTGATGAAAATGTTCTTGGATGAGTGCAGAAAGTATTTTTACATTCAATTCTTTAAAACTCGAAAGATCAACATCTTGCTTAATGATCACTTTCGTAGCAATTGCCTGCAAATACTTGGCGACAGTCTGAATTTCAGGACTCTTCACATTTAGTTTATTCCAGTCAATATGATCGACATGCACTAATGATGATATGTGCTGAAAAAGTGTAACTTCATTTAGAGTAGATTGAGGTGATGCATCAAGTTCAATATAGATTAGAGTTTCGGCAGGTATTGAAACAGCTACGTGTCCAAAACGAAAACTTCTAAATAGAAGAAGACAATAGAGAACTTCGTTCAATCGTTGAATGTTATGAATTAATCCAATATCAAGATGAATGGCTGCTTTTTGGAGTTGAGGACATTTTGCACTAAGTCTTTCGGCTAATATATCAACATCGAAATCACCAGATATTGGAAATTTGACATAATTCTTGTTTGACTGTTCAACAATTTGTCGAATTACATTCGATTTCCCAAGGCCAGCAATTCGTGATGTAAATAAATGACAACCACGAATCATTTTTTCTAGAGTTTTAGAAAAATCATCTTTGTTAAGCAATTCAGTATCACGATAAGTATTAAGAATATGCATCGACTGAAGTCCATTGATCAGCTGTTGTTCTGCTGGTGTGGTTGTTGTAATAATACCCATTCGAAATAAGTGATATGGTTTCTCTTCCACTAAAGTACGTAATAAACCAATAAATTTATCTTGAACAGACTGTGAAAGAAGTTCAGATCGAATAAGTTGATGAAATGATTGGGAATAAAAGCAACGATAAATGAACGCGCGTATTTGAATCCAGTTCGTACGTTGGGTACAATAGAGAACACGATAAACTGAAGGTGTAGTCTTTGTCAATGAAAACAACGAGAGAATAGCACGAAGAATTCCTTCGTTCGTTGTTTCGACGAGAAAGCATTTTTTTATTTTTGGATTTTCTTCTAGAGTAGGAGCTTGTTGTTCTTGAAAAAGTAAATGTCCAAGGTTTTTTAATCGATCTTCTGGACTTGACTGTTTCACTGGTGGTTGTTTAATAGAGTTTGGATCGATGCCAACGAACTTGAGAAGATGATATCCTGGATGAGAAATTGAAGAACGATCATAAATATAATCTTCGACTTGCCACAATTGATTGCCTGAGAAATAAGTCAAATTAATGTGTGTCTCATACATAGTACATAATTTCTTTTCCCAATCAGTGAATAAAGTAGTCAGTGTTTGATTATATTTTCGTAAATCATCATAAGATCCATCATTACAAGAAAATTTCTTTTGATCGACAAGAAATTCTGATACTGATGTCTGATTAGCAAGAAAATTTGAAACAGAAGGATGACCTGCAATATATAAATTCGTCAGAATTTCAATAATAGATTCAACGATGTTGGCAAATTGAATGAAATTGCGCAATCTTTCTTTTTCACGTTCACTATCAGCTTCTGGTAAATTCCTCTTATTAACATTACTTGAATATTCAAGAAGACGTGCACGATCACGAAGTTCACTTATATCGGCAAATTTTATTTTTTGTTGTTTCTTTTCATCAGTTGTAGTTATCTGTTGAGATGGAAGTTCTACATTGACATCAACAGTTATTTCATTATGTCCAATACGAACAAAATATACAATAGAGTTCTGTAGAATATCAGCAATTCGACGTCGTTTCGATTGTTCTTTGTCAACTAGTTCCAAATGAATACGTTTGATACTTGATAATGCCAAAGATGATGATTCAAGATATATAAGTAGATCTGTGAATTGTTCATTTTTCCATACGTTGATGAAGCTAGTGGCAATATCATTAAGTTGTAATGGTGCATTTTTCAATTCTTGATGTTTGTCTTTCATAGTAGCATAAGAACGATCAACAAAATTCTTGACAGTAGCAAACTCAAAAACGATCTTCGTACTAACTAATGTTTCCTCCCAATCACTGACAGCCTCTTGTAAATTGTAGACATCATCGGCAGAAAGTGAACCAAGAAAATCAAAGAGATCTGACGCTGAACTGTAGTAGGAAAAGAGTGTCAACATATTATTAGGAAATGGTTTCTCGATTTGATCTCGATATTTTTCATAAACAATAGCACATTTCTCACCCGATGTTGTCTCATCCATTGCACAAACATCATCAAATAGAGTTGAATCAATACTAGCAGGAATTGCTTTGCTCAAGAGACTTATACCTTTACAAATGTGATGAATACGTAAACGATTTTTCCAGAATGAAACGATCGAAATAAGTTGTGGTAGAGCTGCAGGATCAAGTAATGGTTGTAGTTGATTGAGATCATTCTCAGCTTGTTGAATATCTGGAAATATTCGAATAATATCTTGAATTGAACTTGTCTGTCTTGATGCGCACATCTGTTGTAAATTCTTATGGAATAGATCAAGAATCTGAATAGCTTTTTCGAGAATCTCCATACACTTAAACTTGACTGGCTCAGTTGTTACATTGCTAATCTCTACTTGAATTTGGTCAGGAGATGCTATAAAACAAAAAATAAAATACTAAATAGATATATGTGACATGTATGAAGTACCTGGTTCATCTTGTAACGCTGCATTATTCTTAGACCATGGTTCATTATCCGTCATCGGCTGCTGCTCAAACAACTCTTTGACAGCTATTAAACATAAAATATATTCGAATCGATATCGTTTCTCCCAAAAAAAAACAAGATCCCAATCTATATATGTATTCTACCAATAGAAGAATCTTTCACTGAAATTCCCTCGATATAATATCGCTAGTAAGATAATTTTAAAAAACTTACCATTGATTACCATTCGTTGGTTGAGAAACACTCGCCAGCTGCGTACATTTGCAAATTGATTGAGTTTGTCAGCGAATGGGACAATACATTTTAATAGTGGTGATATTTCAATCGACTGAATAATTTCTGTGTCAAAACGATTGTGCCATTGTCGAATTAATTGATGATAGACTTCTTTGTCACTTGTCTGTTCACAATAAGCATTAAGACATGTCACTACTTTGTCGTTTAATTCCATTTTGACTTTCATATTTCGATAAGTGGCATCAAATAAGCCATCAAGCGCATGTATTGGTCCTGTAGTTAGAGTAACTACTGCCCATATGTTACGAACAAGAACTTTTTCTTCTATTGTGAAAGTTTGCCATCTCCTTACATCATAGGCTAGAACGCCGTTTGATTCCCATGATTTCCACTTGTTCTTCATGTGAGTGATTGTTTGTAAATAAATCGGAAGTGAATTGAGTGATTTATCAAATAGGACAGCATAAGTGAATGTGTTCCGAGATGCAGAATAAAAAGTATCGTTAAGAACATCTTCTTCACGTATGTCCATCAAAGATGTAGCAGATGCAATCAATACTTTCACCAATTTATTTGTTTTATTTTGTAGTTTATCGATATTCATCAAATGAAACATCGGATTCAGCTGACTTTGCATGACTTTAAGATTATGCTTCTTATATGTCAGTTCTTCTTTGAAGAATTTGTCTTTGAAAACATCAATAAAATTTGTATTCTGAACCAAATTTAAGCTGTCTCTGATGAGATCATAAATGTTGTCTACACAAACAAGAACAATTTGAAAACATACTTGAAATTTTGCATTAAAACAAGATATCAAGCAAAAATGCCTATTGCAAAAGCTGTTCTTATTGTTGCACGACTTCAGCAACGATGTTTTGAATGTTACTCAGAATAAATAGGAATAAATTCTTCTTCTCATCGAATCAGTAGATCATTTGTTAAGAAAAACTATGCTTATCCTCTGTCTGTATTTACTACGAAATAACTGGTGATAATAGGAGAGTACTGGTTCGTAAATAGATTCATATGTATATATTCATTTCTGTAGGTTTCTAATACAGCTATTGAAATAAAATGAAGTTTTTCTTCAAAGAAACTTTCTTCTTTGTTTTAGATATGGATAGAAATTGATAGATAGAATGTTTGAATCCAATAAAATGTTATAATTTAGATCGTATTGAAGTCAATATCTTTTTGTTAATTATGACTTCTGAGAGTTCACTCTAGATTTCCCAAACTCAGTTTGTTCTCGAAGTCAAAAGCATAAAAAAAAGTTTTTTTTTTATTGCTCGTTCGATCAAGATTCGCTAATATAAAACCATCAAGTAATAACATTGAACCGTTGTTATTATGTTTTTTAATCTAACTGCGGTAGTTTTAGTACAGTTTGACACAATTCTCACAAAAAAATTGTGGTTAAACATGCGCTGAGTCAAAGCTTAAACAGAGCTATAGTAGACAGCAGAAGTTTAAGACACTTTTATCTTTGAAATTTTTCAGTGAAGATGAGTAGCTAGGTCGAATCCAAATAGTTATTTGGATAGCTCTTGAAATTCTCTATCGAATACAATATGTGCCGAGTCTTAGAAAAAACTTTATTAAAAGAGATTTCTAAAAAACCACGCTAGGGGAGGTTTTGAGTTCTAGAGAATTTTGACAAAAACATTTTTCAATATAGTCATCTGAAAGAGCAGAAAATTCTGAACAAAATGAGGGGTAGCACAGCTCTGTACAATGTTTCGTCGCAAAATTATAAGCATTAGAAAAAGTCAAAAAAATCTGTTTTTAGTCAATTTTTAGCAGTTTTTCCATAAAATTTGCAATTTTTTGACTTTTTCTAATGCTTATAATTTTGCGACGGAACATCGTGCAGAGCTGCGCCACCCCTCATTTTGTTCAGAATTTTCTGCTCTTTCAGGTGACTATATTGAAAAATGTTTTTGTCAAAATCCTCTAGAACTCAAAACCTCCCCTAGCGTGGCTTTCTGGAAATCTCTTCTAACAAAGTTCTTTTTAAAGACTCGGCACATCTTGTATTCGATAGAGAATTTCAAGAGCTATCCAAATCACTATTTGGATTTGATCTAGCTAATCATCTTCGCTGAAAAATTTCAAAAATAAAAGTATCTTAAACTTTTGCTGTCCACTATACTTACATTCGCTCAGCTCGGGCTCAGTCAGGTTTGAGGTCACTCTCTCTCAATTTAACTTGATATTGAAATTTCTAGTGAAGTGTTTATTGAAACCAGCGTATTTGAATAACTTATAATAAGCTAGCAATCATGCTTACCCTGTCGAAAACATTGAGCTACCATATGTTTAAGAAAAAATTGTAAACGTTGCTTATTTTCTGGGGCAGCCCTTGTCCACAAACCAATGAAAGTGTCTATTTTGTTAATGATTTTTGAGAACCAATCTTTTTCTAAAACAAAACATTCCGTCCAATCATTAAGTAGACTTTGAGAGTCCAGCCAATCTGGAATAGAATCACAAAGAAAATATTGAAACCATTCAATAAAGTAATCGATTGTTCGATCATCTCGACAACTGAGCATGCGCCTAAGATATTCTTGAAGATTAATACCATGCAAAAAATATGGATTGTAAGAATGAAAGATAATATTTTGAACGAGTGGCAACTCCTTTGTCGAAATATGGTAATTCTTTTCATTTAAAATTCTTGTCATCGTGTCCCACAGTAAGTCATTTTTTTCAAATACAGATTCAATTCTCTTCGTTGCAGCTTCAATAGTAGCATCATGAACTTCGTTTGTTTGATTTTTCATATAATTCAAAACGAATGCAATATCCGAAAGGTCAACTAAAGAAGAACAATAAAGCATTATTTGATTTCTGTTATATTTCTTACTTGGAAAATGATTTTCTTGCAGCAGTTTATTAAGTTGCATTTGAATTCTTTCTTCCAATTGACTATCATCTTTTGGGTGTGCTATTACAAGTTGAGTTAGATAACTAATATATGTTTCGAGTGAAGCTGCAACATCGAGATGTTCTAATGTAAGCTGATCTTGCCCAATTAATTTATAAAGAGCTGTTTCTTGATCTCTTTTCGGAGTCCATCGTAATTCACTAAGTAAACTAAGTAATTTCGATGTTGTCTCTTGTTGTCGTTTTTCGTCGGATATCATTGAAAGTAAATTAAAAGGCTCATTACCCTCCTTTTCAAAATCTTCATGCCAGAGCACTTTCGTACAACATAGTATTACTAGGCCTTCACGAAATGATGGCCATTCTGTATCGAGAATAATGTTCCAAAGAGCCTGAAACTTTTCTGATAATGTTTTGAGAACGATTGATAAGAATAACACAGCCGCTTCATTTCTAATATTCATATTATCTTGATTAATGGGTAAAGCAGATATGATACGAATGAGAATTTTAAGTGCCGGTAAATCTTGTTTAACTGTATGTTCGATTGTATTGTAGTATCTACGGCAAGTTTGAAAGAAGAAATTCAAATGTTCAAGTGACATGCCTGTTTTTCGTTCTTGGATAGCCATGACAAATTGTTGTAGAAATGAGTCGAACTTATCGTAAGACTTCATGTTGATAAAAAAGTATGGAAAAATACATAAATGATCCCAAAATCGTACATCAATTCCTAAAATAGTTATTCACTGAAAAAATATAGATAGATTGAAATATTTTTATACCAGGAGGTGTGAGTCCGAATAGACTTTTTTCAAAACGAACATCAAAGAGAAATTGATCGGTCATCGTGGGATCTGTTCTAAGCTGATGAATTACAGCATGTTCATAATGGGAAGTAGGAGCCATTGTCCGTGTCTGTGATATGCGAAGTTGATAATCTTTAACATTATGCAATGTGTTTTGATGAAGAATATAAATATCTCCCGTGTCATAAAGTCGCACGTTCAATTGAAGTTGATATAGGCTCAGAGTATCCCCAGTCTTTGAAGACGTTATCTAAACAAAATTTACCCTTAACCTTTGCAATGGAATTGTTTAGAACAAATATAGTTTATTCTCTTATAAGTCAACCATTGCAGCTGATAAAATGTTTTCAAACAATATTTTACGAAACACATGACCTCTAAAGTCGAAAAATCTCTTAACAAGAATAAAAGTAAATAATGTTTGTTTCATGTTATGAACTATGAATAAAACATTTTTAGAAGTATCGGATCATAAAAGAGCGTGAATGTAGCAGTTCTTTTGACTGTGTCCACATCCACCCTCACGATAGCCCATTGTCAGCTATTTGAAAGACTATGTCTGGTGCAAGCGCATTATAATGTGTAGTGGTATTTACTAGATAAACGGGGGTTATGAGAGCAGAAATGCACACATGTTTCTAGTTGTGCTGAGAGACTACATGTAATACATTGCTTGGATTAGCAATATTCAAACTTCCGAATAGATGAATTTTCATGCGCACTCTTTCAGTTCAGAATCCTATGGCTTCCGAGTTTATTTCGGAAGAAATTTACCTGAACCTTCTTGGTATTATTCTCCATGTGTTTTTGAGTGACTTTGAAATTTTCATTTGACTAGCAATTTCCTTTTTGAGAAATCAAAGTATAGCTACAGCAGTGTTCAACTTTACACAAAAGGAAATTTCTGAAACTTTAATTCACATTCACAGTCAAAATATCGCTATAATCCACTCAGAATAAATTTCTACTCAAACGATTACAAGCAAATGAGGAAATTACCAAAGTTATTACGAAATGTCGGTAATTTCCTTAACTTGTGATTCTGAGGGCTAGGGTATTATCTTTCTTATTCAAGTACCATAATATATTGTGAATTTAAGGTATATAGAAAATATTGTAATTACCGATATTCTCTAGTAATTTTGGTAATATCCTAAATTTCTTGTGATTGAGCCGGGTAGGGTCGTATCTTTATAATTGATATAGTATTATATCTTCCGCAATTTAGCTGTATAAAAATTTTCGTAATTTTTTGGTAATTTCGATAATGAATATTATTGAATCATCATCGGTTCATTTGTTTACATCGTTGTATGTGGTTAGAAATGTTGCAAAATGCGAAAATTTACTTTTTCGAAAGTTTAAACATACCTCATCTATAGGTCTAGATATAGAATATGGACTTCATGGTTTAGTAGAAAGACAGTAGTTCCCTGGCGAATGGTCCTAGATATTGACAAATGAGTGTAGGAGATGATTATAGATCAAGTGCATAAATATTTCTATGTAGATGTAAGGCAATATAGATGCGGGCGTATATGTACGTATGTAGATGAGTCATGTTGATAGTTATCCTAATATCCATCAACACATCCATATTCGGTCATGGTAAATCTCTTATCAGAGCTGTGTACTCCACATAAAATAAATGTAGTGAACTTACTCCCGGGCGAGTAAGGGTTGCGATGATATTGAACGCGTATTTTGGATCATCACCAAAAAGAGCTTGAATTTTCCAACTGTCACTTGGATCAGAATGACGCAAGATATACAAAGAAATTTTGCATGGTGAAAATGTAGACTCCACTGCTTTAGGAACTATGGTGTTAGATACAGTTTGCGTTTTATCATCTTGATAACCCTCAGTGCTAATGCCATCAGCATTGGTTATAATTGATTTGGCCATAGTGTTAAATAAAAATCTATATGAAAAATATACAAATCAAAACGAGTTGCCTGGAAAAAATCAACAACAAGGACCGTTGCAGCAACGATTTTTTTAATAATTTACTTTCCTTCCAATATTCTTCTTTATCAGCCATTGCACATAAGCCATGACCTTTTGTTACAGAGGCTGCTCAATCGATTTTCTTAAATTTTGATTTCACTTCCATATTTGAAAAGTGCATCAATTAATGAGTTTTTTTGCCATCAACCGTACCTCGATAGTTCAAACCGTTGCTGAGATATTCAATTTTTAGTGTAAGACCATTTTTCTTCAATAGACGATGCTAATGTCACGCGTGTTCACTAACAAGCGTGCCATTTTTGATTGGGGTGATATAGAATCATGAAAATTTCAGGATAGATACATATTGAGTTGCGCTACAAAACAAAATGATTCCCAGTTCTAGATGTCGCTCTATAATCGAGTTACAGATGTTGCTAGTAGTAAGACTGTATCATTCAACATCTTCTGTGTAACCACCTCTTTAAGATTGAAACTTTTATAGTAGATACTAGGGCTGTGGGACTATATAATAATGAAAAAAAAAGTCTGGGTGACCAATCATAACTCGAGATATCGAAGTTTTACCAAAATTTACTGCATTTTTAGCTGGTTTCATGAATTTTTCACGAACTTTGTTGAATAAAGAAGGACAAAAATATCATATTCGGAATTAGCATGAAAAACTGAGTCAGATGATATATGTTTTATTTTAAAAAAAGTTCCATCAAAAACTCACCTGAGGGGGACCACAGGCAAAAATTTTACGAAAAAGTGCTGAGGGAGAGTAGGGGTCACTTTTGAATGGAATTTTTTTTAAAATAAAACATATATCATCTGACTCAGTTTTTCATGCTGATTCCGAATATGATATTTTTGTCCTTCTTTATTCAACAAAGTTCGTGAAAAATTCATGAAACCAGCTAAAAATGCAGTAAATTTTGGTAAAACTTCGATATCTCGAGTTATGATTGGTCACCCAGACTTTTTTTTTCATTATTATATAGCCCCACAGCCCTAGTATCTACTATAAAAGTTTCAATCTTAAAGAGGTGGTTACACAGAAGATGCTGAATGATACAGTCTTACTACTAGCAACATCTGTAACTCGATTATAGAGCGACATCTAGAACTGGGAATCATTTTGTTTTGTAGCGCAACTCAATATGTATCTATCCTGAAATTTTCATGATTCTATATCACCCCAATCAAAAATGGCACGCTTGTTAGTGAACACGCGTGACATTAGCATCGTCTATTGAAGAAAAATGGTCTTACACTAAAAATTGAATATCTCAGCAACGGTTTGAACTATCGAGGTACGGTTGATGGCAAAAAAACTCATTAATTGATGCACTTTTCAAATATGGAAGTGAAATCAAAATTTAAGAAAATCGATTGAGCAGCGTTGGTCGCGGCTTATGTGCAATGGCTGTTATATATACTTGCAAACGTAAAGTGACCAATAAGATGCTCTAGCATTTTCTACATGATCGTATGAGTCATTACCGACCAAATAAAAATAAATATTTTTTTTTCCTACTGATCAAACAAAGCAGAGAAAAATACGTCGGAATTTTTTTATTGCTTCAGGTTTTATTTGTTAAAGCCTTTGACCGACAGATTTGTGAATTTTTAGCAGTGTTTATACCAATGATATGCAAACTGGGTTTTTTTATAAATTTATTTTACACCGTCATATTTGTCGAGTAGTCAAGTGTTCTTCTTTCTTTCTTTTCTTTCTCTTTCATTTTACTTCTCATGAATGCTACTCAATATTTGCATAGATAAAAACAAATCAATGTCAATAACTGTAGAATGTAAAGCATCTCCCATGTAAGTTGTACACAGTCAAAACATGCACGCAACGCAAAAAAATTATATTCTTCTTTTCTTGTTGGAGATGTATGAGCTCGTATTAGCAGAGTAAACGAAAGCCTGTAATGAAGCGCATTCATCACTTCCAAATTGAATAACATCGACATCATACACGATTAATATATAAAACTCATGAGCGGCCTACATTTTCAGACGCGAAAGCTCGATCAGAATTTAGTGCTGATGTTCCATTAGTTTACCTATCGGTGCTACACGAATTGTTTTCTTATCTATGAGCAAAACGATAAAGATATGAATGTGAATGTGGTGAGAGAAAGACAACACGAATTTCTATTCACCTACTTACACTCATGCTAACGGAACGGATATACTAAAAATCCACAACTTTCAAAAGAGAGCTTGTTATCAACTCTTTTTACGCCTTTTAACTATTAAATAAGATTTTTTTTGCAATGCCTCACATTATTTGAATCAAGAAAAAAAACACATGCGTCACTAATGAAATCAAGTTTCGATGTCGATTTATTTGTCTCTAAAAAGGTAGTATTTTTCATCGAGGTCAATGTATCGTAATATTATTGCTTTTCATGTATAAAGTCGCCTGTATAACTTTCTTTAGTTTTATCAAAAGCATCAAAAGTTTCAAAAGGTGATCGATAAATATTTAGTATCTAAATTTGTTTAGGGTGTGTGTGAGGGTGTGAGGGTTAGTCTGTGACTGTGGCTCCTCTGTTCAATGGCACCCACACCCACATCCTCTATATCAATTTATGAAAATTTGCCTAAAATTTATGCTCATCCAAGTTTCATCTCTTTCATTGAGACTGAAAGAAGTCTACCCAAGGGGGAAACGACGGATTCCGGATTCCCGGGATTCCCAAGATTCCCATGGGATTCCCGGGATTCCCACGGGATTCCCGGGATCCCCACGGGATTTCCGAGATTCCCATGGGATTTCCAGGATTCCCAAAGGATTCTCCAAAAAATTTCCGGAATTCCCGCCATACTTGCGGGTCCCTCATTGTATCTGAAAATA